CTTCATTGAAAATGCAATGAACGCAAAAAGGCTGAAATATTGCTATGTTTCTTCTTATCAGAACGTAGTTTAGCATTTTCAACAACCGACCACCTAACCAAAATGTCTACAAGAGAAAAAAAAATATTAAAAATCAACGCGATTCTTTAGCAATTTAAAACTTGGACATTATTACCCTGGAAAATAATGAGCTATCAAACTGCATACTCGAAAAAATTCTTAAAAATCTGAATAAAAAGTTGAAAATCTAGCTGAAACTTTGCAGATTTTTTTATAATTTTTGCACAAAGTTTGAAATGTGGATTTATATCTTGTTTGTTATATAGTGAGCTAGGCCTTTATGGAAAAATAATAAACATTAAATAAACAAAAGAAAAACTGCCACAATCGATGAAAATATTGATGACTTAATCAGGTGATCACAAGTGTATATATACATTTTTTTTTATATTGACGATTTCAAACCAGTTTACAATGAATTTTAAATGCGCTCTGTCGAAATGACATTTTAATATACCTTACATATATACTTGTGTACCTTTGTATACAATAAAAGTTTAATAAGAACAATTCTGTGTGCATACATTTTAAAAAGACGTTTGTGGGTAGGAAATGACGTTTTTTCAGACCAAGAGGGACGTTTTCTCATGCCGAAGACCTGGCAACACTGCTTGGAGCAGAAGCGAAGTCATTGTGATGCAATGTTGTCAATATAATAATAAAGATACATTTCAAGAACGTGCCCTATGTACACAAAATGCAGCGATTCGTCACAGCGCTACACTTGCATCATCTACGCATCTCGCATCTTAACGGCTGTCGAAATTTAACACACGGCAATTCATTTTATTAGGTTTTACGCAGTCTTCAACTCAAAAATCACTCAGAAATTGCAAATTAAAACCATTTAAACTGATTTTTCACTTATAATTAATTAATTTGTAAACAAAGGTTTATTTACAAGTTACCACAACTGTCAAAATCGGCAAAACCAAAGCAGCGGTACCCCTGACGGCGCCACCTTTGTTCGCTGCACCGTGGAACAAACCTTGGGTCTGGTATATGAATTTCTTTAGTATTAAATGATAAAAAAATACAAATAGAGGTGGTAACCTTCTTTCGTTATTTATGCTCAAAAGCTATTTCAGTCATTGTGTACAAATACAAGTGAGATATCTTAGCAATAGACGTCATCCTGGGCCACAGCTGCGATCATCTGTTTTTTAGAGTTGCCTATTTTTGTCTAAACTGCTCTTTTTTGACCTGAGTTGCATTAAATAGTCTCTTAAAATTTGGTAGTATTTTTTTGTTCAAATGGTAACATATGCCCAAAAACTTGAAAAATATTAAATGATTGCTTTTTAAAAATGCTATTTACAAAATTTCGTTTTGCTTGCGACATTAGAAATATTCAGATTATAAAAGTTTTTCACATGTTTTAAGATTTTAAAGCTTTTAAAAAAGTACGGTAGAATGCAACAATGTGCTTGAATTTGTTTGCATCTTCGTAAGCTTATTCGTTTGCAGACTAGAAAAATGGCGAACAGCCATCAAAATACTGATTCAAAATACACAAATAGGTGCGCGTAGCAAAATTCGGCCCTAATGGTAAGTTAATTTCATCGTGCGGCGATGACAAGTTAAGAATTTGCGATACATTTTCAGGCGAATGTGTGCGAACGTTCACCGTGGGAAGAGGTATGGGACGACAGCTGACATGGCACCCAGACGGTAATCTGGTGGCTTTAGCATTAAGTTGTAACCGCGTTAAGATATTTGACATAGCTGAAGGCGAGCTAATACAGTGCATTCGTCGCCGGAGAATGATGTTGCATTTCACCCAAGTGGAAATTTCTTGGTGACTGGCGGCGATGACGATACAATAGGATTGCTTGATTTATTAGTAATATGTATGCGGTATCAAAACCCAACCAGTGCTTGTGATCGACTGACTTTATTGAAAACCGTAAATTACATTGA